AGAAGTTTAATAATCAAGTGGATAGGGGTGCCTGGGTGGCTCAGTGGGTTAAAGCCTCTGCCTTCAGCTCAAGTCATGATCCCGGGGTCCTGGGTTCGAGCCCCACGTCGGGCTCTCTGCTTGGCAGGGAGCCTGCTTCCTCCTCTCTGTGCCTGCCTCTCTGCCTACTTGTGATCTCTGTCTGTCAAATAAATAAATAAATAATCTTAAAAAATAATAATAATCAAGTGGATAGGACACCAGTCAACCTCTTTCCCCAGCACCCCTGTCCTGGTCCAATGGGCTCATCAACAAAGTGGCCATGACGGCAGGTGGAGAACAGGCGTGGGCTCAGCTATGTGCACCGCTACACATCAGACTCACCTGGCCACGGTTACCACTGCGTGCCTAATTGCCCGCAGCAAAAACCAACACTGAGACCTCACTATGGCACCACTCCCAGGGGAGATTAACCAGCTACCTGGTGGTGGGTTCAGTGAAATGGGCCTCTCCCATCATGGAGAGGGCAACATTTTGTCCTTACGGGAACAGCCACTTACTCTGGCTACAGATGCACCCTGAACACAGGGTGAGCGGCTGCCGAAGCTACTACCCGCGGACTTCCGGAGCGCCTTGTCCGCCGTCGCCACAGGAGTGCTTCTGGTCTAGGAAATACCTCACAGCAGAACAATGGGCCCATGCCCTTGGAACTCACTGCTTAAGCATGTTTCCCACCATCCTGAAGCAGCTGGTTCAACAGAATGCCCTTTTGAAGACTCAGTTATGGTATTAGCTAGGAGGTCCGACCTCGCAGGGCTGAAGAAAGGTACTCTCAGAAGTTGTATTCACCCTGAACCCGTGTTCAATACATGGTGGTATTTCCCCATAGCCAGGGTTCCCAGGCCCAGGAATCAAGGGGCAGAAATGGAAGTGGTAGCACTGACTAGTATCCCTACTGACCCCTAGCAAACCTTCTGCCTCCTGTTCCTATAACCTTAGAAACTAGTGCTGCTAGGCTAGAGGTTCTAGCTCCAAAGGGAGGAACACATCCACTAGGAGGCACAACAGTGATCCCACAGACCTGGAAGCTCAGACTGCTGCCCAGCACTCTATGGTCCTCCAGCCTCTCAACCAGCAAGGAAGGGAGTCCTGACCACCAAGCAGAACCTGGACTGCTCCTCCACAATGGAGATGAGGAAGAGTGTGTCTAGAAAACAGGACATGCCTCAGGGCATGTCTTAGTATCACCATAATTTGGGCCCATTAATGATTTTTTAAAAGCCAAGAAGCAAGCATGTCTAAGGCTGAAAAATCTTCAACCCAAGACAATCTTAGGAACTAATAATCACTCCCTTGAATGTCACTGACAAGGTTAAAGAAAGCTACGAATTTAGAAGAGAAAGATAAATTTAAAGATTCATGAAATTCACTACATGCAGCAAAGGATACAGACCTACCAAAGATTCAGCAGAAACAAAGCCAGGGGTCATAAAACCCTCAAAGAAAATTTCCAAGGCTTACATCCCAGGCCTCCTGAAACCGATTCCTTAAGAGTACATTTAGAAGCAGTGACATCACTTAGAAGGTTCTTCCTCTAGTTCCCCGACTTTCAGATGATGTAGGTTACTGAAGTTCAAAATTATTGTTTATTACATTTTCATTCAACACATTTATTAGGCAATCACTATGTGGGAATCATTGCTCTAAGCCCTAATTTATAAACAAAATATTTGAGCTTACATGCACACTTTACATCATAATGAGAAAGACTAACAATAAAACAAATATATTTACTTCCAGAGTTAAGGCCTCCAAACATATGGCATGCCTTGTGTTAGTTGCTCTTACTTCCAGTCCATGAATAGAGTAAAAGAAATGACCTTGATTTAGAGTATGTGAAGGTCATTAAGTATAGTACGCTATTTCTACTCAGCGAAACTGGAAACAAAGGCCAGTTGACCTGTCATACTGGTTAGTCCAGCTTGAAATCACCTGCACTGCTGATAAAAACACCTGGAGCCCAACCCTGCAAAACGTATGTCCCATAGTCCCTATAGCTTTACAGAAAGGCAGGGCCAAGCGGAACCATGCCAAACAGTCCTCCTCAAACATTTTAGATGATACATGTAAAAAACGTTTTCTAAATTATATATTACGCATGTATTTTTAATAACAAATAACATGTCATCTAAAAATAACTCACCAAAACATTCATAGCCTTTATTTTCCAGGCTGTTCCCTGCCTTTCATAGTAACAGCGGACTTTTCAGTAGAAGATTTATTTTTTGTATCAATTTCAGTTTGCTTATTTGAGTTTTTTTCAATTGCTAAGCAAAAAATTGAGTAATTATTAAATTATTCATTTAATAATTAGTCCTAATATTGCTGAATTCACTTGGTCTTCAGAGCATCATGACTCCATTTGTTTCTACTTTCAAGCACAATAGAAACCACAAAGGCCAAATTCAAATATATGATTAAACTAAAATGTTAAAATTTTTCATGTCAATAAACAGTTTAAGCAGTATTAAAGGACATACGGGACGAAAGTGTTTGCAATTAACCTGATAAACAACTGATTACTTAAAAAAAAAAAGGCAGGTGGAAAAAGGAATGAAATCTTGCCATCTGCAACAACATGGACGGAGTGAGAATATCATGCGAGGAGAAATAAGTCACTCAGAGAAAGACAAAGACCCTATGATTTCACTCATATGTGGAATTTAAGAAACAAAACAAATGCACAAGCGAACAAGAGTTGGGGGGCAAACCAGGAAACACAGGAAACAGACTCTTAACTACAGAGAACAAACTGGTGGTTCCCAGAGGGGAAGGAGTGGTCGGGGGATGAGTGAGACAGGTGATGGGGATGAAGAAGTAACACTTATCGTTTTGAGCACCGGGTGGGGCATGGAGTGTTGAATCACTGTATCGTACACCTGAAACTAATATCATACTGTATGTTAACTAACGAGAATTAAAAATTTAATTAAAAAAAAGAAAAAGGGGGAAAACACACTGTAAAAATGGGCAAAGGAAACACAGGTAGGCAATTTACTAAAAAAATAACTATGTTGACTCAGACATTAAGTGTTTGCCTTCGGCTCAGGTCATGATCCCAGGTTCCCGGGATTGAGCCCCGCATCAGGCTCCCTGCTCAGCAGGAAGCCTGCTTCTCCCTCTCCAGTTCCCCCGTTTCTGTTCCCTCTCTCGCTGTGTGTCTCTCTGTCAAATAAATAAATAAAACCTTTAAAAAAAAAAAAAACAACTATGAATGACCTCCGAGTATGTTTTGTAAATGTTGTAAATGTCTACCATACTAGTAATTAAAGTAATGTACATTTACAAGGAGAAATGTTTCACGTTTTTGAACTGGAATGATTGTTTTAAAGATTTATTTGGGGGTGGGGCAGAGAGAGAGAATCCAAGTAGGCTGCACCAAGCATGGAACCCGATGCTCAAGCTCCTGACCCTGAGACCATGACCTGAGCAGACACCAATGGTCGGACACTTAACTGACTGTGCCCCAGGCACCCCTTGAATTGGCAGGTTTTAAGTACCGCCCACAGTTGATGAAGATGCATTCTGGGAAGAGGAGCCCCTCCCCCATCCCACCACGGAAAGTGAAACCACTAGTGGAATTCACACTGCTTTCTGGAATCAGGAAATATCTTCTCAAAACTTTTGAAGTGTGCTTACCTGGAAAGTAAACTGCAGAAATTTATCCTAAGGACAAATATTTATTTGTAAAGATGTAGCTTTTTTAGTTAAAAAAAAATGGGAACAATCCATGCTTAGAACAGCTTCAGGCACTACTGTAAATTGCACAGAAAAGTAGTTAATGGCATGGAAACTTCCCCCTTATATGCTGATTTCGGAAAATACAAATTATCAGTGAGTCCATGAAGGTTTCCATTTGGTTATGTATCCACAGGAATACACCTTACTGAAGGCTACAGGCCACAGTATTCCCAATAGCTCTGTGAGTTGTAGGATTTTGGGTAACATTAATTTTCTTCACTGTATATTGTTTTCCAAATATTCTACAGCAAACACAGCATTTCTTTAAACACAAAGGAGTGAGAGAAAAGGTAGCTGTCTATATAAATTCCAGATAAAGAGTTATGCACAAAGTCATCTTTAGAAAATGGGGGGAGAGGGGGAGGGATTATTTGTCACATCTCAGGAAGGGAAAGGATCCTCTAAACACAGAACAATTAGAAAAACCAAAGGAAGAAAAAAGACTGCACACTGGGAAAAATACAAATGTTAATAATTCTGTCAATCAAAAAAGCAAATAAAGTTAAAAAGAAAAATAACCAGGACATATTTACAAAAATCTAATAAAAAGCTGATGTTTCACATATAAAGAAATTATAATTCAGTAAGAATAAAAGGGGGAAATCATAATTCAATAAAAATAAGAAGATCTATGTATTAGATCTTATATTTTATAAATTAAAATTAAAATGTCCTACCTCACCAAAAATTTCTAGAAAATGGTAGAGTCAAGATTGGAATGCAGGTCTACTTGGCCTCCAAGCAATATACCATGTTGCTCACAGCAAGTAAGTCACTTTTTTAACCACATTAATTTTAAAGTTCATACTTGACAAAAGAGTTTTTTCCCCCTTCAATTACACATTCTTAAATGAAAAAAGTAACTAAGAGAAAATAAATGAAGTAGAAAACTATGGCTAGTATTTTTAGGTCTTAAATGGAGGTTGAGTTCTTTTGACATATCCAGATAAACCAAAATTCTCTTGATACATATTTAAATGAGAACTTACTTATCAAAATCATTATTAAGTATAAAGACTGGTTCTTGATTAAGTAAAACAGAAAAGGCTGTCCCAAGTAAGAACAGGAATAGTAAGTAAAATCTGGTTTTCTGATGTTATGAAGGACTCATGGTTTACTGGAGGAAGATGCAAATTATGAAGGAAATTAAGAAAAGGCAAATCTAAAAATACAGTGCGGAAAAAAACGAAAACATTCATTATTAAGCAATATATACTGACCATGAATCAGGGAGCCATTTAGCCACTGAATATAGTAGTTTTGAGGAAAAGAAAGCAGGATTTCATTGCTGATTATTGAAAAGGGTAAGAGCAGAACAGCCCCGGCTGACACCGCCAGGGTGAACGTGCTCAGAAACAACCTGGAAGAGAAGAGATCATTGTCACCGGCAACCCGAGAGAGCAAGGGTACAGTCGGAATCCAAAAAGGACAAAACTCTTAAATCTTTTAAATCAAAAAAGTTACGTAAGATTTTCATTAAATACGTGTAGTTGGGAGACAAATGTTGTATGTATGAGACTAGAAGTTCAAGGAGCTATACTCCCAAACGCCTCTCTGTGAAAAGGCTCAGTAAGTCGAACGAGCAGGCCCTCTAAGAATCACACAGAGAAGACAAAGTACTCTGCACATTTTACGAAGAATAAGCCATAGTCTCTCTCCTCTTTTAAATTTAAATATTTATTCCACAATTGCATTTAATTAACAACTGGCAAATACATCCTCACAGCAATGCAAAAACTGATTCAGGTGAAAAAAAATACTTGTGAAAACAGTATGAAAAAACAATTCAAAATGGTTATTTCAAGGAAAAAACTCAACAAAGCCATTGGTCAGCTACCTCTTAAAACAGGTAAGGTAAAATAAATTAGACTAGCAAACAGTATCTAACTATTAATATTCTACTATTAAACTATTTAAAACACTGCTTTGTCATTTTTAAAAATAAGATATTGCTAATAAATACTAACACAGAAAGATATCAAACATAAATTGAGTAAAAAACAAAAACTGAAAAAGCATGGACGATAAATAGAATACATGCTTACACACACACACACACACACACACACACAAAGCATTTATATACACAGGAAAACAGAGGTACCAAAAAAAGAAAAACAAACCTAGCATATATAACAATCCCACAGGAGAGTGGGCTTTCACATTCTCAGTCATACATGTCTGAAATGTTTAAAAATGTTTTATCTAATTTTTTAAAGATTTTTTAAGACTAAAAGGGAAAGGAAAAGAAAACCTCACCAACATTATAGATGGATCTTTAATTTAATATCCATTCCATTAAAGTCAATATAGGAAAACGTGAAAATAAATGTAAGAAGACATAAGGAAAAAATGCATACTAAACCCTGGAAATACACATCCACTAGAGTAACTTTGAGACCAATGCCATCTGGTGGCAACCAAAAGAAGTGTTTTCCTACTTAAAAGCCAAAACAACCATGAAACCTCTCTGTTCAGTAAATCACTGATAAAGCTCAAAGGTAGACCGTATCATACACAACAAAAACACAACTCAAATCAGACACACAAGGAGGCTTAGAAGCCGTTTTGCTGAGTCGGCATGTTTCCTGGGGAAAGCACTAGGAACAATGTCTACCCGGGTCCACCGCCAACTCTGGCAACTACCAGGCTGTGGCCGGAAGCGTGCTTCTCTGCTTTTGTCCTTGCCAAGTCAAGTGAGGAACTTACCCCAACCACTACCATTTCTGCCTTCCAATGCTAAAAACAGGATCAAACCCACAAGAGCTCACCATTCCAGGTGCCGCACAGCTGTTCCAGTATGTGTGCGAGGCTCCTCCCGCCACGACAGACTCCCACATACAGTGCCATGTACCCCGTCTTCTTGTACACCAAACCTCAATGCGTTTCATCGCTCTGTACTCCAGGGCACAGTCAGCTCTGTCCCTAGGGTCCCCTTTATGTCATCTGCCCTGCAAACCACCGACTCTCCACATTCCTCTCAGTAGTCAACCCCTCTCTTCTCAGCTCACATGACACTCACCACACAACCAGCAAGAAGACCAACCAGTTTCCAAATCAAAAACTGGGTCCTGTAATCTGACAAAAAACTAAGCTTATGAGGACAAATACGTAAAGTATTTGAAATCAACGATCCAGAAAAGCCTGAATGCATGGTCACCATAACTACGACGCCAACTCTCAACAAAACACTTCCAGAACCTACTGTATGTATTCCAGGTACCGTGACTGGGCTCAGGATATTCAGACAAGATGCTGTCACCCTCTCACCCTGCCCATGGGCACCTAGCGTGACAGCTACTCACAGAAGGCCGAAGCAGTGCAGGTCAATGCTGGTAAGGGGTCCTTACTAAGGTAAGGCCCTGAGTCAAGTTGAAATAGGGCAGTAGTGGCCGTGGCTTACAGACCTACTGAAGTGCCCCCTCTCTGATTAAAGCACCATTTCACAAACGTCACCTTCTGAAACGGAGCAGATTCTGAGGACAGAACCCACAGGACTGCCTGAGGGCGGGGGCAGAGAGCGCTCAAGGCTGATCGGAGTTTTAGCTGAGAACAGGAACGGCAGAGCGGGTACTGCCTGTGGAGGAGAAGGCTGCAGCTGGGGCAGGCTGACGGGGAAACAGGAACTCAGCTTTGGTCCAGCTTCGTCTGTCACGTCCACAAGGCAGGAGCGTCACAGAAGCAATGCTTCACACTTCTCTCTGCAGGCTACCAGGTGGCCGAGACCTTGTCTGCCCTATTGCTGGTCACGTTCTGATGACCACTGGTCAGGATGGTGTCTGCCAGGGCTCTCTGACTCTAACATCACTCTTTTCCCTTTTAAATAATAAGTATTTTGTGCGAAGCTAAGTCTGAAACTAGGAAAAATAGCCTGTTCCTTGCCAAGAAAGATTATTCATTTACGGATTCCTATCAGTTTGGACTCAAGATTGTTCTATTTTATTCTGTGTAGGTCCATTACAATCATTCTCCAGACACTGAGAAGGTCCCCGATCGGTGTGAAGGCCCTCAGAGGCTTCTGGGTCTTTTTGACATGTACCCATCATTCTTGGGGCACTTCCTTGCACTCTGGCAGTACCACATGCACAGAATGAGCCTGGAACTTCCCCTCCCCTAACCTGCAGTCAGCTTCTCCCCCAAGGAGCCTGGGTCCCTATTAGTGGGAAATTGTATTTAGAAGCACCAAACTGGTGCTGAATATACTCCCTGCTGCTGGGGTGTCACACTCCCAACGGACAGGCAAGGACTGTACGTGCGCACTATGCATACAGGTACGTATACACAGTTACCTGCACTCACCTTCACATCAAGATCTGCTGCGATAACTTTGTGTCAAAAACCATGAGGCCGCACTGACAGTCCACTGGCAAGTCCAACTGCGATGCAACAGTCCTGTTCATCTTCATTTTCCTCCCCTTCCCGTAACTGCAAATGGCTCCCACCACCTTCAATGGACCAATCCCCTGGAAATGATCCGACACTCCTACCCTATCCAGAGCCACCCTCCTGCTCAGGTGACTCTCCATTCTGGACTGCCCTACCTCCCTCCCCACTGACCTCTGATAGCCATGCCAGGCCATCCCTCCAGGGACACCAGCCTACTTGGGCTCTGTCATCCTGTATGGATGCCCTCCCCAACCTCTGATGCCCTGTGACAGAGCACCCCTAAGCACATGCGGATGCCCCTCATCACCCCCAAGCTCATACGCCACACGAGGATTTCCCTCTGCAGGGAAAATTCCCTCCCTCCTCGCAGACCCTGAGAGCCCAAACCAGGTCACCCCCCGGGGCTCTGATACGTCATGCTAGGACCACCTCCTGCAATGGAAACCCTCCTCTCACCTGCAAAGGCTCACAAAACTTTCACCAGTTAGGCATTCTGATTTCATTCTCAAATCAACTAACTAGCCAACAGTAGCTCTTAGAAAATGTAGTTTTGGGTTGCAAAGTTCATTTGGAGGCACAAGCAGATACAAACGAAGAGCAGAACAAAGGAGCAAAGGAGAAAGCAAACATGGGTCTAACAGGAGGTGAGAAAGGCCAAGGAACAGGCTTTCCATTTTGACATGGGTGCTGAGCCAGCTGTGGAGATCCCGGAGTGCTGCCAATCACTGCACTTAAGAACTTGTCAAGCTCTTTCCCTTTCTTCTCCTTGTAAGCAGGACTCTCCTTCCACTTCCTCCTCTTCGGTGGAGGGGGCAAGGGAAGGAAAGATGGTGGAGAGAAGAGAGGCAACCCCGAAGTCCCACGTACAATGCCCCAGCACCAACCGTGGATTACTCTGCAGATACAACTTAATCCACACAACAGCATGGCAGAGTAAGTGGGAGCTCTCCTTCACACAAAGAGAAAACAAATGTTTGTTTCTCAATCTCTTCTGACCTGAAGTTAATCTTGAGTTCAAAATCTGAATCCAGATCCACCTTCCTCTTCCAGTCTCACTCATTCTCTCACACAAGGGGGGAAAAAAAGCAGTGAAAGCCAAAAGGGTCACTGGGAGGCAGTGGAAGGGAACAGACTAGTCCTGATTCTCTTAGGTGCCCCCACCCCTTCTCCCTCTCCCATCTTTAATGTAAGAGCTCCCCTAGCTGCCTGCCTCCACTCACAGGATGCAGGAACCACCTGCCAGGAGAACCCAAAGCCCTCAGACCCACCACAAGAGTGATGGCAGCAGAACTGGTGAAGCAGAAGGGGAGGTCCGGGCTCCTGAGCCTCCTCAGAAGGAAACGAGGCACAGCCACCGTTTCATAGAATACATTGCAGGGTAAAGCCTAAGTGCTGTGTTCTGGTCTGTTCGTAAAGGACTGATCCACAAATGCATGTACGTAAATGTACCACCAAGAGTGGAGCGCAGACTAAACAGAGAGTGGTACATCTCACAGGTACTTACTTTATCCCTAGAGGATTTCATTGGGAAGGAATTATATCTGCCCTTTATTCAGTGTGTGATTTGCTGAAGCTTTTTGAGGTAAGTGAATTATTTAGACCAGGAATTTAGACAGTAATTTAGACAGACAAAAATGATAAATCACTGAAGAATTTTCATAAATGTCATGGTTTGAAATAAAACTATAACCCCTAATCCTATAAATTTAAATAAAGTAATAGGCCTAAGTTTTAAATCCACAAAGCAAGAAGAATTCACAATATAAAGTTACAGATGCTTTCCCTAGGGCATTTAAAATAATTTAAATTACCAAATCTAGTAAAACAAGGTCCATTTAAATTCACTGTTCAGTTATGAATCAAATCAGCCCTATTCAAGTCACTTCTCAGTTGAAAGTATTTTTTTTATTTAAGTGAAATTCACATAACATAAAATTAACCATTTCAAAGTGAACAATCTGGTGGTATTTAGTGTAGTCACAGTGTTGTGCAACCACCACTTTCTAGTTCCAGAACATTTCATCACCCCAAAATAAAACCTTGTATTCACTAAGGAGTTGTTTCCCATTCTGCCCTCCCCTGGGTCCCTGGTAACCATCAATATGACATGGATGGATTGACCTTTCCTAGTTTATTTCTCACAAATGGAATCACACACTAAACGGCCTTTCGTGTCTGGCTTCTTCCACTTAGCATGATGTTTTCGAGGTTCCTACATATTGTAGTACCTCATTCCTTTTCACGGCTGAGTAATACCCCAGGGTGCGTGAGAGTATTTGTGTATGTGTGTGTTAAGTGCAGGCAGCCCTTCTCCCTTTCCCTCACCTCCTCCCCACCCCAGGCACAAAATGAAGAATGTGATACCAACCATGAAGACACAAATCCAAACAACTTGCCTGCAATCTTCAGAAGTATCGAGGATAGGGAAGTCAAGAAAATACTGAAGAAGGGTTTCAGTCTGAAGGCAACTAAAGGGACCCGACAACTACAAGCAGTGTGTGATTCTGAACGGGGTCCTTTCGCAACAAAGGACATGACTGGGACAACTGGTAAATCTGAATGGGGCAAGAGTGGTACAGCCTCAATTGCATTATCCTGATGGTTGTACGGTAGATACACAGGAGGATGCACTGTTTGTAGGCATTATATACAAAAGTATCCTGAGGAAATGGAGAACCGGGTTGGCAAATTCTCAAACAGTTCTGGGGCAAAAAGGCTCTTTTTTTTGTTGTATTTCTAACCTTTCTATAAATTCAGGACTATGCCAAATAATTTTCAAAGTATCAATAAAAAAGAATCCTGGCATAAGAATCTCTCCAATGTAGTTGTATCTGTGTGATTTCAAATTTTAGTCAAGCAAAATCTGATAGAAACTTACTGCTTCCCATCCAGTTTGATACCTCAAAAAATTTAAAGGGCAGAACAATCATATATCAGCATAAATAAGGAGAGAGAGAGCTATAGGGAACATAAAGAATCATCAGACCGTCTACTTGCTCACAGCAGGTAGACGCTCAGCTAGCTAGAACAGATGTCTGTTCCTTATTCCAAGACTGTCACAGTCTTCTCAGGAGACCATTAAACAATCCAGAGTTTTCTTTCTTATGGCCCAGCAACTTTCCCACCAGAAGCCCACTTCCTGGCTAAAACCTCTGAAGGTAAAATTATCAGCTCCTCAAAGAAGCAAATTTTAACAGGAGACAATCAATCCTCATTTTTTCATGTACAGTTGACCCTTGAACAATATGGCTTAGAAATGCAAAGGTCCACTTATAAGTGAATTTTTTAAATTAAATATAATACAGTATTATAGAGGCACCTGGGTGGCTCAGTCATTAAGTGTCTGCCTTCGGCTTAGTTCATGTTCCCAGGGTCCTAGGATCAAGCCCCACATCAGGCTCCCATTTGGCAGGAAGCCTGCGTCTCCCTCCCTCGCTCCCCCTGCTTGTATTCCCTCTTTCGCTATATCTCTATCAAATAAACAAAATCTTTTTAAAAATATATATAGTACTGTAAATGTACTTTCTCTCCCTTATGATTTTCTTTTCTCTAGCTACTTTTTTTTTATTAAAGATTTTTATTTATTTGACAGAAAGAGAGAGAGCATGAACAAGCAGGGGGAGCAACAGAGGGAAAAGCAGGCTGCCCGCTGAGCAGGGAGACCAATGTGGGACTCCATACCAGGACCAAGGGATCATGACCTGAGCCAAAAGCAGACGCTTAACCAACTGAGCCACCCAGGCGCCCCTAAATATAATACAGTACTATAGGGTCCTAGGATCAAACCCCACATTGGGCTTCCTGTTTGGCGGGAAGCCTGCTTCTCTCTTTACCAGTCCCCCTGTTTGTGCTCCCTCTTCTGCTGTGTCTCTCTCTGTCAAATAAATAAATAAAATCTTTTTAAAAAAATTATTTTCTCTCTCTTATGATTTTAGTAAGATTTTCTTTTCTCCAGCTACTGTATTTTAGGAATGCAGTATATAATATACATAACATATAAAATATGTTAATCAACTGTTTATGTTATCAGTAAGATTTCCAGTCAATAGTAGGCAATTAGTAGTTAAGTTTTGGGGAAGTCAAAAATTATACACAATTTCCAACTGCACAGGGCCAGCATCCCTAACTCTCACAGTGTTTAAGAGTCAACTGTATATTTATATGTTTCTAAAGATAGGGTTAATATCAATAAAAAAGGTGACTTTTTCCCACATTTATGCCCAAAGGTGCAAATTAAATTTGAAGAATTTATGACATCGAAATTAGAAACAGAAAAAATGAATTTTAAAATACATACGAAATCCTGTTGACTATGGCATCTTCATCTTCTTGTTCATCTGTAAAAATGGTTACGGTATTAGTTTTTTTAATCTTCAACAAAATGTTTCATTAATTTATTAGAAAATATAAACAAAAATAGAAACTTAAAGAATTACTGAAAAGAACTGATTTTCAAAAAGCACTGTTATTTATTTCAGCATGGATCCAAATTTAAATCCTATTAAATTACACAGGACAGAATGTAGGTAGAGAAGAGTGTTGTGATTAACCAAAATCTTGATTAACAAAACTAACATATGTAAACTGAGATTTTCCAAATATTTATTGTGCAAGAAAATAAAACTTAGCAGAACCTTAGGACCACTATCAAGTTTACTGTCATACAATATAAGTAAAATTATAATTGCTAATGAATGAAATTTTTTAATTGATAATATCCAACAAAATCTTTATTATAAAATTATAAGAATCTTAAAACTCATGTACTTTTCTCTAATTTTTGAGTCTGTCATTATTACTGGTAATAAGGAAGACGCTTTTGGACCAGTCCAAACCATTTAGATACCACTACCTCAATACTTCATAATTATTGTTCAATTTACAGAAGGAAAGTATTAAGTTTTATATCTTTTACAAGTAGCAGATGCCCTCTGCTCCAATGCTCACTCACCTCCCTCTCTCTCATGGCTGCTAGCCTTTTCTTTGTCCTCCCACATAAATTTACCAGCTAAAGAAAGTATGATCCAATTACAAGAATATTGCACAACACCCCCTGACCCCTCCTTCTCCTCAATACCTAACTGGGGTTGTCCTCAAAGGCTCTCTCTCTCTAGGTCTCTATAATTATGAGAGTCTACTTGCTTCCATGTCAATAGTGCATTTGAGCCATTCTGACTCCAATCTCCATTCTTAATTACAGGCTGCCAAAATAGCGTTACAACCAAAAGGACAGTCACAATTAATTTTTATACTGTTGTGCATACCCCCAATTAACCATCAACTACTTAAGAATGTTTTAATAGCTTCATATGAATTTCAACTCTTCTCCCTAAATTCTACTAAGTCCAAGGTATTCATCACCCCTCACTGCCATTACTTAAAAATCATCTAATGGGTTGTCCCGGTAGCTCAGTCTGTTGGGTATCCAGCTCTTGACTTCCACTAGGGTCATGGTCTCGGGGTCATGGAGCAGGTGCTGAGTCAGGCTCTATGCTCAGCGAAAGGGTCAGGGGAGTCTGCTTGGGACTCTCTCTCCCTTTCTGTCTCTGCCCCCTACCCCTGCTCACAAACACTCAAAATAAATAAATATTTAAAAACCATCTCAATCCTCTCATCTCCAATTTTCCTGCTCATCATCCCCTAATTTCCCCTAAAATGATGGATTTATATTCATTAATTCTCTTTCTCCCCCTGCTTCTGTGTCTATAATCATTAAAACCTAATGCCAAAACATGTGTAAAAACAGCTAAGATACTGTGTTGAATCTGCAGGTCTTCAAATTTTTGAAAGATTATAGATTCCAAAAAGTATTTTAGTGTAATCATAGAGCCAAACTAAAACACTAGAGCAAGTACTATTTCCTAATTGCTTTCAAAAGTCCAACAACTTTTTTGTTATTATAACATAAAGAGTTCCTATTATATGGAATCCTTAAGTATTCACATGGTACCTACTGTGAGCCCAGCACCACAGGCAGAAAACCCTGTGATTTATAGAAAATAGCTGAGATTTAACAGAAGGCAGTAAGGCCATTGTTCAGATCCTTACAAAACCCTGGCACAAAAACCTGTGACTTAATTAGCACAAAGTTCATTTAAAAAAAAAAGAAAAAGAAGAAGGGATTGGATGCCTGGGTGATTCAGTCAGTCAAGCATCTGCCTCCGGCTCAGGTCATGATCCCAGGGTCCTGGGATCAAGCCCCCACACCAGGCTCCCTGCTCAGCAGAGAATTCCTTTGTCCCTCTCCCTCTGCACCTCCCCCCATTCATGCACATGAAGATTTTATTCACTGTCATACAGTGAATAGAATAAAATAAAATCTTCAAAAATAATAAATCTTCAAAATAAATAAAATCTTCAAAAATAATAATAATAGGGTGCCTGGGTGGCTCAGATGGTTGGCATCTGCCTTCAGCTCAGGTCATGGTCTCCAGGTCTTAGGATTAAGCCCCGCTTTCAACTCCTGGCTCAGGGGGAGTCTATTTCTCCCTCTGCCTCTTCCCCTGCTTGTGTTCTCTCTGTCTCTCTCTCACTCTCAAATTAATAAAATCTTTTTAAAATAATAATAATTTTTAATAAAAAAGGAATAAAGATTTAGTAGTCCCTCTGGTATACAGGATATATATGAAATAATAAAAAGAAAAATATAAAATTGAATCCTCAATGGATACTAAACGGTATCATGGGGATTCTAAATTCTCTATCACTTTAGAGAAAGAAAAGATAGTCTAGTAGTCAGAGTAAGGATGGAAAGTATGCTGTTCAAACTCAGAGCCAGTCACAAGAACACATATATCCTTATAAACTCTAGAACTTCCCAGATACTGAGCAGCCCCATACTACTCTTGGACACTAGAACAATGGTAAACAAGGGTTCAGGTCTAAGAGAATGATGACCCTGCGAGCAGTCAGATCCCTGAAGGTTACTGTTTACTCTCAGTACCAAGCTATTATATCCTTCAATCATGGCCATACTGAATATATGCACTCCACACTGGCATAGTATGTAGCCCATACACCACAGACCACCTGGCATGATGATCCAAGTTTTAACTACAGTGTTTCTACTTGCCTGATTTTCTCTTGTATCTTCTGATGATGAAGTAAGAAACAATGTAGAGAACGGCAAAAAGAAGGAAACATATCTGAAAAATAAAATTAACAATTCACTTACATTTGTTTCATTTATTTTTTAAAATTACAGAAGATACACCTTTGGTATTTATAGGCAAGAATGATTTGATCTATTAAAAAGTAAAAATTTTTAGATATATTGGAAGCGTAAAGAGCCTGACCAACACCAACAATTCTGAAAACTAAAGTCAATGAGATGCTACTATCCCTTCCAAATATCAAACATACTATAAAGCTTCAATAACATTTAAAGAGTGTGACGGCACCAAAACTTGACAGATAAATGAAACATTCTATCATACAAAAAATTATATAAGTTAGTTCTATATACAAGAGGCATCACAAATCAATGTAGGGGGGAATAATTATTCAATAAATATACCACATACCAAAAAAAAACAGCAGCTGAATGAGAAACTTAATTTTAATATTAAATTCAAATTAAATTCCATCTAATTTTATGGGGATGACAGGTAAAAGAGGATGGGTCAAGGATAGGAGATCTCATTACAGTCCAAGACCAAGTGTGCTAGAAATAGTCTTACTAGGGCTATGGATCAAAGTAAAAATAGTTTGAATACCCTCAAATGAAAAAATTCCAAGTGATGGTAGTCTAGGGACCACCACTATGCATGGATTTCTGAAGGAGGATTGTTGTCCACATGACTGAAAATGACCTTGGATCTGGGTGTGAACAGGCACTATACAATGTCATCCACAAAATGACAAACGGACAATGAAGAGGAAGACCGTGAGTCTCATGATGTCACAATTCTTCCAATACAAGTGGAGTGGGAAAGTGACAACTGACAATAAGGACAGTGACCAAAAAGGAGCCAAGAGGGGACCCGGGTGGCTCAGTCATTAAGCGTCTGCCTTCGGCTCAGGTCATGGTCCCGGGGTTCTGGGATCTAGCCCACATCAGGCTCCCCGCTCAGCAGAAGCCTGCTTCTCCCTCTCCCACTTCCCCTGCTTGTATTCACTCTCTCGCTGTCTCTGTCAAATAAGTAAATAAAATCTTAAAAAACAAAAACAAAAAGGAGCCAAGAGTCAAAAGCATCCAATTGGCCTGCTGCTGGGAGCCCATTAAGAACTCCAGATGGATAAGAGAATATTAACACCATCACTACTGTCTCCCAAAATCATTTGGAGTAGGGAAAATGGATCAAAAAGGAAACCAATCATCGGTGAAGAAATGTGAACAGAGGGGGTCTTCTAAGAAGATGTTAAGGGTCAGGGGAGATCGTTTACAATGGAATGGTGAAGCCTGAGTAGGGCTGCAAGAGCACTGGAAAGAGGGTAACTGGCCAGAACCCTGTGCCTTACGAGGTTCAAGTCAGAGGGATCGAATGACCAAAGGAATTAATATTTATGACAGAAGCTACCTGAAATTCGATTCATTCAGCAATGGCTTGTCATGAGCTTAATGCACACCGGGCACTCTTTTCAGAACTGAGCACACAACAGTGAACAAAACAAAGCTCTTGCACTCACTGAGCTTACACTCCACTAAGAAAACCACCGATCAAGAAGCAGGCGACAGGGCAGATGATGACTGGTGCAGGACTAAGGGAACAGGGAGTACGAGCAGAGGAGGGGGCACGCCTCACTAATACGGTGGTCTCTGAAGAAGGACTTGTGGGAGAAGAAAGAGAAAGACATGCAGAAATCTGGAGGGAGGGTACTCAGTGCATAGAGAACAGTCACACCAAGGGTCTGAGACAGGAAAAGCCTGGTGTGCTCAAACAGCGAGAGGGGAGAAGAGATGGGGTCTCACAGGAGTTTCAACTATGTGTCAGTTCTCACGAACAGTGAAGAGTTCATTTTTACGCTGAGTGAGATAAGAATGCATGGTGGGACTCTGAGCAGACGGGTGACAGGATCTGACAGAGGGCAAAAGGCTCACTGTAGGTACAATGTGGAAAGTAACTTAGAAGGGACGCAGACCGCAGCAGACAGAGCAGTCAGGAGTGTACTGTAATCACCCAGAAGAGAGGTCACTTGGCCCTGTGTAGTAGAAATATCAAAAATTATCAAGTTCCGGGTATGTTTTGAAAATAGACTTGACAGGGTTTGCAGGGATGAGGCCTGGCCTACAAAACTGGAAAGAGAAAGTGGCCGTTTTCTCAGGCAGGAAAGATTATGAGTAGTTATTTTGTTTTGGAGATTAAAAGTACAGGGTACACCACTGAACGTGAAGTACCTCTTATTCACTGAGGTAGAGAGGGCAGATAAACTGTTGGATATAAAAATCTGTACAATCCAAGGAAAAGAGCCTGGCTAGATTTTTTTTTTCCTAAGGTGAGGACCGGGGGGGACATAATCAGATAGGTATTTAAGGCCCTAAGACCAGATAAGATTTCCATCCTAGGGAGTACAACCAGAGAAGTCTGAGAGCCAAGCCTCAGGCCTCTCAAATCTTTAGGAGCGAGCCTGACAGAAGGAATCAGGAAGAGCTAACCGGGAGGCAGCAGTCAGCAGGCAGGAGGCAAGAGACCGTGATGTCCCGACGGCCAAATGCAGAAAGTTCACGTAAGAAAAGGGAATTATCAGCCGTGTCAAATGCCGCTGGCAGGCCACGTAAGATGAGCGCTGAGAACTGACAACTGGATTTAGCAACGTGGAGGTCATCGGTGACCTTGACAAGAGCTGTTTCTCTGAAGCAGTGAACTTAAAACCCTGACTGAAGTAAATGAAGACAGAAGAAGAATTGAAAATAAAATGGACATCGACAGTTCTTTCCATGATTTATAGTAAAGGAAAGCAAGAGAAATGTGATGGGAACTATGAAGAGGACTTTTATTTTTTAAGATGAGAGAGTCAAACATAATTGCAATAATAATCAGGTAGAAAGAAAAATTACTAATGCAAGAAAGAAAAAGGAGAAGTGCTAAAGCAACGTGTTCAAGGTAAGGAGCTAGAAATAAATGTATCCCTAGTCAGAAGGAGGAGGAGCCAAAGCAGAAGAGGACAGAATACTCGAGTTCCACGGCAGGTAGGTAAGCAGATGGGTGCTAAAGCACAAGAATATGCCCTCCAGATGGAAGTTCCTCGAGTAGAGTTACATGTGGAGAGTGGAGACAGAATTCACAGGAGGATGACACCATAAATGGAGTATAGAATATAAGGGAAATGAGAGCCACAGCAAGACGAAATGGAAGTCCCAGCTCCAGGCATGCCCAGGCTGAGCCTCCGAGCCAGGCAAGAGGCCCGCTGCTGCTCTGCGACTGCCGGCCTGGCTCTTAGATGCCGGGGGGAGCTGCAGGTAAAACGAAGGGGAGACGAACCATGAGAGACTGTGGACTCTGAAAAACAATCTGAGGGTTTTGAAGGGGCAGAGGGTGGGAGGTGTGGGGAGCCAGGTGGTGGGTATTATGGAGGGCACATATGCTATGGAGCACTGGGTGTGGTGCATAAACAATGAATTCTGTTATGCTGAAAAGAAATTAATTTATTTTTTTTGTTTTGTTTTTTGTTTTTTGGTTTTTTTTTTTTAAAGATTTTATTTATTTGTCAGAAAGAGAGGGAGAGAGAGCGAGCACAGGCAGACAGAATGGCAGGCAGAGGCAGAGGGAGAAGCAGGCTCCCTGCTGAGCAAGGAGCCCGATGCGGGACTCGATCCCAGGACGCTGGGATCATGACCTGAGCCAAAGGCAGCTGCTTAACCAACTGAGCCACCCAGGCGTCCTGAAAAGAAATTAATTTAAAAAAACAAACAAACAAACAAGCAGAGGTTTGAGGATTCTAACAACTACCCTCTTCTCTCCTCCCCTGGACAGCCTATACTTGCAGACTTGCGCAGGGTACCACTCACTCACTCCTCCAATCACAGATCTGCCTTCATGTCCACTGCCCAACCCAAGTGCTCCCGCAGTGATCAGTCAACACCTAGCAGCTGAATTCCCCTCCCACGGTTTCACCTGATCTCTGAGCAGTCCCCCTATTTCAGCAACCATCCTCCTCCTCTGATTATGCGCCCAGTCTCCATCACTAGCTTCCCTCTTCCTGACAGCCTTTAAACACTATTCTTCTAAAACAAACAAACAAACAACAAAACAAAACAAAACACACCACACTATTATTCTTCCCTATGATTTCAGGGCTGAGCCAGAACTCTATCCTCAATCCACAAGCTCTTCATAGGTAACCTAATCTGCTCCCAGGGTTTTAACCATCAACCCCCAGAAATCCTTGGACCACAGTCTGAAAACCACTGGATTAGGGTATTAGCAGAAGTAAGTTAAGGGCACCTGGGTGGCTAAGTCAAGTGGGCATTTCCCTTTGGCTCAGGATGCAGTCCCCTGGGATTGAGCCTGGTGTCAGGCTCCCTGCTCAGAAAGGAGTCTGCTTCTCCCTCTCCCTCTGCCCTTGCTCCACCCCACTTGTGCTCGTGCTCTCTCACTCTCTCTCTCTCTCTCTAAAACATAAATAAAATCTTAAAGAAAAAAAAGTGAGTGAAATGAATGGCCATAAATCCTAAGTAGAGTGAGGGGGAAAAAAAGAAACTAAGTACAGAGTGATGGGTAAGTAGAGTTGTCTATCAACTGAGGCTCCCAATAAAACTGCAACAGAAGACCAAGGAATGTGGAAGAAGTAAAGGTTATGATTAAAGAATGTTTACAGATCTTTAAACTTAGTATTTAAAGTTAGAGAACAAAAGTGTCAGAAATTCCAGAAAGTTCATGCAGAAACAGAAGATGAGAAGACATAAGAGGTAATGAACAAAAAGAAATTAAGAAACCAAAATGCATGGTATAAAATGAAAAGACTAATGGAAAGTAATTTATTTAAGAATGGAAGTAAGGGGGCGCCTGGGTGGCTCAGTGGGTTAAAGCGTCTGCCTTCGGCTCAGGTCATGGTCCCAGGCTCTTGGGATCGAGTCCCACATCAGGCTCTCTGCTCGGCGGGGAGCCCGCTTCCCTCTCTCTCTCTCTCTGCCTGCCTCTCTGCCTACTTGTGATCTCTGTCTGTCAAATAAATAAATAAAATCTTTAATAAAAAAAAAAAAGAA